ATAATTTTTGTAAGATATAGAAATTTTTAAATAACTACCTACTTAATACTTATATAAAATATTAATTTTGGCGCAAATTATAGGCCATTTTTGTACCTTTGGCGCTTATGTCATATGTTGGGTATASCAGGTATACAATATTAGATTGGCGCTTATGTTCTACAGATTTTGGCGCAAATGAAAGGTCATTTTTGTACCTTTGGCGCTTATGTCATACAGCCATTCTAATCATTGTTGCAAGTTGCATTAACTATTTTGTATTTCGGTTGTCTGTTTAAAGTTAAATATTTGTATTATACTAATACAACACAACTTTCGACTCTGATGATAATAATAATTATATAGAGGTCATACTTTGCGGCCGGCGAGGCGCGCGCCTTCTTGCAATTTGCAAATGCAAACAACCACCCACGGACCACCTACGAACGTGACTGCGGCCCGTCACGATCAACACCAAATACCAACCAACCACGTGACTTCTGAAATAAATACACGCGTGCACGTAAACGCCGGTAAGAGGTATATTTAAAGGCATACGAAACACACCTGTTAGTTGTTACTATGGATTTTGTCGGTTTTATTACACGTGGTTATTTTCGTACCCTAAGCCCTTTCGCCCACGCTAGTGTAGTAGTGCCCTTGCGTCACGGAAATTGTGGTAATTATTATTATATCATAAAATCAGTGCATGTGGCATGTGCGCATAATATATTAATATAATATTATACTTTACAGTGTTGAATTCGCGGTATCGTTATTTCGGTCGACCCGGTTAAGTACAAACGTCAAACACATCAACGATAGGACAGTGTAGTAGTGTATGTTTTTATTAATAATTATTATTTATTATTACCCTATAAATATTAAAATTAATTGTTTCCGTTGCTATTAATGAAAACCCACATCGATTGTAAACGGATGTGGCACCTGCTTTGTTTTCGTCGACGATACCAAAATACAATTTTATAGACTATACACACATTATGGGCCAATTACGCGGGTCGTGTACACGCTGCCGTAGATATACGATTATACAAATATACAATCCATTGTGAATTACTATAATTACGTTTATTAATATTAACGCTCAATAGGTAAAATACGGATGGTAGTTGAACTTTAGTCTGGCGGTATTTTTGATGCACTGGTAATTACCGGAGTTTTAATTTTAAATACCAAGAACCGGAAGTCGTATCATGGAATGTTAAATAGATTGCAGACTTCATATAGAGTAAAGCTTTCGTCTAATCAGCAATGTTATTAGACATCAGTTAAACAATAACGTGTATTTTACCTAAAAGGCTTAACATGAATATTATTCAGAACTTAAATGATTCGTTGACAAAACAAACTGTGACTTATTGTAAGTGTTATACATGAATTTAAAAAAAAGATTAACATGTACAACGGTTTTTACAACATTTTGGTTCGTAATATAAATGTATTGAATGGGTGGCACTAAATGCCGATACTAAACTGCTACGTTGAGTACTTGAGTGTATTATGACTCTATGAGACGGGTGTTTCTGATTAACTAGAATTTACAAATACAAATTCATTTACCAAATATATTTTTTTTATAATAAAATAAATTAGATAATCATAATTTTAAGTTTTATTAATAATAGTTTTAAAACTTAAAATATTTGTAAAATCCTAAATCTAAAATACTTTTGTAAATATATAAATAATAAAAATCATACAATTTAATTTTTTCTCGTAATATATGTAAAAAAAAAATATTAACATCGTGAATGTATTCAGTTTTTACACATTGAAGTTTCAAATAATTTGGCTTAGAATATTATAATTATACGTAAAATATTTGTGAACCACTTAGTACTTACGTATTAGTTTGTGCACGAACCGAGGAAATGTTATTAAATGGTACGACTAAAAAGCACCGTGAGAAAATCTACACACTAGCGGCGGCAGTGCGTTTTAGCTTCGGTTCAAAAAAACAATAGACAAATCTAAATCTAAGAACAAATTGCGTAATCTTTGTTATCTTTATTCGAAGAATTGCCCACACTCACGGACAATGGACATTATATATATATATATATATATATATACACATCTACATCCGGTAAATTCAACAAGAACACTCGAACCAATTTTGTTTATTCAAACTTTGATTTTTGGAATTTCAAGTGTTGTTTTATAAAACATAGTGTATAAAAGATAATTGGATCTATGCAAAAAAATTTCATGATTTCCCCGATTTGTATTAAACATATTATAACTACTGCATATTATGTATCAAATTTATATTCGTTATGACATTTTTCGAGTTGTTCAAGATTACTACAATGCATACTATATACATTACTATATGCATAAATCACATAAATTAGGTTTTGTAATTTTTAAAACTTATCCTAGCTATAACTTAAAGTTAGGTAACAAATTAACAACGTGCCTAAACGGAAATTGAAAGCAACACCGTCGTCTGTCATCCACGTACTCATTACTCAATCTCGATAACGTAGAAAAACTAATAAAATAAGTTGCTGCACACAGCACACATGGTTTTAACTATTTAGTGCTTGGGCATTTAAGCGTATGCGGACAACTCACGGGAAAACAAAAACGGAAATATCAACAGGACGTTACGCGCACAGGAAGGCGGGAATCCGCTACGAAGTATAATAATAATAATATCATATATTACGTACGTTGCGGCCATTGTGTATATGAACGCAACCGACTGCCGTGCTATTGTGTAATTTTTTTAAATCCATTTCCGTTGTATATCATTATTATTATTAATATTATTGTTTGTAACTGAGGAAAAAATATTACGAAATAAGTAATATCATTAAAAAATCAAACCCGTACCGTACATAAGATTTATGTATAGTAAATATACACATATATGATATATTGTATAATGGTATATATGCTAAGGTGTATATCGTATAAATATGAATAAGGAATGCACAATGACGATTTCTACCGGAAAATGTAAACAATATTGTACTGACCCTTAAAAAATAATCTCAACTGCAGCCTCGAGTCTCGGCAACTACCTATAACGGCTATAACACACACACACATGTATATTTCATTCACCACCGCGTTCAGATCACCACTCTTACTCAAATCGTCAAAAGCTCAATAGAACGGTTTTTTTTCTTTCAAAAAGAGAGATCCGGGGAACCGGAGGAACCATTTAAAGTTTTGTACGCGTTGACTTCTATAACGATGACGGGGAAGAGCAGTGTAATGGCGTCTACTTAGTTTGTTGAAAATGTTTATTCGACGAGACGGTGAACGGCGGGAGATTAGCTCGATAAAAGTACAACAATACTGAAAAAATCTATTATTACGCGAATCTGGCGAGACACAAATATCCACGAATGCTTATCATCATAAATATTATATTTTTCGTTTAAAAGTCGTGCAACTCAACATTACTGAAATAGAATGCTACCAATTACGTATGATTTTGTCTCATCAATTAATCACCAACATTGCAGTAGTCATATTATGTATTTCTAAATTAGTTTTTATTTACTCGTGTAGTCGCGTCCAATGGCGTAAATAAACAATCACTGTTAGCAATGTCGATTGCCTACACATACTCCCTATAGTTCCTACGAGCCATTACATACGCTTATATAATACTTTATTTTATAAGATACTATCGTGTTATAATCTTATGATTCGTTAATAATCACACCCACGCAATATATTAAATCATAAAAATAATAACCCGTTAGTTGTTTTTCGGGAATGACAAAAATACGTAAACCGCGAAAATTTAATAGATTACATTCGTGTCCCTCATTAATAATATAGTTTACCAACTATGGAAATAATCAGTGGTGTATTTACGGGGAGGGTGTAAGGATCCAGGGGTACTGAAACCCCCCCCCAAAACCTCTCTCTAAAAAAAAATTAAAATTCTTACTTATTTGCAGAACCCGATTTATKGAGAAACAAAGCGGTTACCCGGATATAGTTTTTTCCAGTGAACAAAATACTATACAACAGCTAAAAAAAATATATGTTCCTGCAGCATGGTTTTAAGTAATAACTGTTAAGTAATAAGTATAGAAATTATACATTTATAGTAATGCTTTCTGACGACGGCTTCCAAGTTACAACTAATAAACTGAGGACCCCCTCCCCAGAAAAATTTGAAAATACGCCACTGGGAATAATTAATTGCATCCTTCCCCGGTGTATATAGACACCAGAAATCTTATACCAAATCTATCCTAGAGAGTCAGAAACTACTTGCATCGTGTGTACGTAAAGCATAGATTAAAATCGTCATGAACGACCTCAGATTAAAAAATGCATACAAAATCTGTATCAGCACTTCAGCAGTTGTTACCCATTAGGTGCAATAGGTATATATATATATTCGTATATTAGGGGATCTATTTAAAAAACTTATTCGATATACCCGGAAGTTGAATACGATTGATTATGTATTAAATATTAATGCTGATGGATGCGTATTTAAAATGCTTATTGGAATACAGAAATTGTTAAAAATGTTAAAATGTTAAAAAATGTAGGTATTATTATCTATTACTTATTTACTACTTATTTACTACTTATACTAGTACATATAATATTTGATATTATAATCTTATAATTTATAATTATAATTAATAATATATAAGATACACGATTGCATGATACAGTTTAACGGTCAAACGAAAATACTTGTATAGTTGTATGCCTATTTATAATGCCAAGATAAATTAATAATGTTGCCGGTATAATACAGCTGAGAATTAATGTATTTTTAACTTTTTTTAATTATATAAATTTTTTATTTACAATAATAATACACAATTAGTTATGGAATTAATAAATTAGATAACGCGCGACATCGTGACGTCAGTAAATTAGTTCACATCAAACAGCGAGAATACATCTCGTCTTTTCGAAGTCAGATCGATCTTGATGAGGGGTGTGTTGATGAAAAAAGCCTGTGCGAAACTTGATCATATATAATGATGTCTTGTATCGGAGCAGAGGTTCAATTACCTTGAATTTTCATTATATCCGTTTAGCCCCATTACCCCAAAATGTATATATCTAACTTTCTTACAATAATTTATACTAGTTACTGTATAGTAATAATACTTAAGTTTAAATGGTATACAATGTACGCAAAATCGACTATATTAAATAACCAATATTCTTTAGCTAACCTTCGTTAGTACCGACAACAAACGATCCGATAAATAGCGAGACTTCGTCGAGTCAACGAATAGTGACCGACATTCTCGAACACACTGGCCGACATTCACGCGAGAGGGTCGAGTGTACGGCAAGATATTTCGCTCTGGACCGGCAGGGTGGTGCGTACTGCGTGTTATCATCATTGGCGGGGATGAAGTGGCGGTGAACTTTCGGAGGTCCTCCCCTTACAGACAATACCATCATATACACGGCCGGCTTTGACCCGGATATTGATCGTGATATGGTGCAAGAGCGCACGCGCGCAACGACCAATGCGACGGCCCACTCTCATTCAAAGGTTCAGTTCATTGATAAAATGTATCTCTACCCTCTCACCCTCTAAAACATAATTCTCCTATTACTCCTACTCCCACGCAGCCACCCCTCCCGGTTCCCAGTATTTCGTAACTTGTTGATGGGGACGCCAACCTTTCCTTCTCACTCCACCACCAAACAATTTCACTTCATGTTTCAATTCCGTTCTCGTGTATAACGTGGATTCGGCGCGCGTGGGCGCACTTCCATTCCGGCATAATATACGTCGACAGACTGTGTGGGCGTCTTCATTCACGAAATCAACCAGCGCGCGCGCACAAGATATGCTAACACACCGCGAGTAAAGAGTGTTTATATATATACTAAAATAACGACACCACCACTAAATATATGTGTCCAGAGTTAGAAATTTCATAAAAATAATATCACACTGCCAAGAAATCACACGCTAGACGTTTTTTAAATATATACTTAAAATATGCGTTTAATTATAGGTGTACGACGGGGAAAAAAATAAACGTAATCTTAACCCATCGTACAGCGAAGAACGGACGTTTAATTAAAATTCTTTTCGGGGTTATTTAAGGCGTTAAAAAAATGTACTGTCGCCAAGAACTCCTGAAACACGTGTTTCTTCTCCACAGTCCATTCGTCAATATCGATTTGCAATACTCTATTTATGAAAATATTTAAAACATAATATTATTTACTCACGCCTATAATATACGACATAACATAAACTGTTATCACTTAAAACTGTATTACCGATACGACTAAAAATAATATTTAAAAAAACGGCAATAACTAATAAAACACAAACACACCACTCGAGAATATTAAGCATTTGAATACCATGTCCATGTATAATAAGGATTTATATAATTGAGTATAATATAATATATTAATCACCATAATATATAGGTATTAAATTATTAAAACAATATAGGCAGTCATACTGATATCATTAAATCTTTTATTATGTTTACTGAATTACATAAAAAATTGCATACACCCGATGAGCCTACGAAAAATTAATATCCAAAGTTTTGGAAAGTTAACGTGTAATGGGTAGCAATCGGTAATATTTCAAACTCACACGGTTAAAATGATAGATCACGTCATCTTCATTTAAGGTATACTGTGCAATGGAAATTGCAATAAAAAATATGTCACACCACTTAGAGATCTAAATTTAAAAAGGAAATGTTCAATTTACAATAAACAGAGAATAATTGATATAAAATGTATAGTATGGTTACGCCAGATAAAATAAAAACCTGTCTTTTCAATCATTAACATAATATATGATTAGTAGGAAATAACAAGAAAACGTTACGAAGTTGAATTTTCTCAACACTCATTTTATCACTATACAGACACTAACATACAGCATATTGTTATTTTTTTTTTCAGAATTCAATTTCGAAACTGACCGGCCGTATTGTGCGAAGGGGTAAAATAATACGAGTGTGCGAAAACCCACTACTTATTCGCCCACGGTAGCGACGTTTATTGCGTTTAATATTTCAGCGAAAAAGTGACAAACACCTGCGGCATGACAATACATCATAAAAATACGTAATAGGTACCTACTATATAACCCATCATTGTAGACGACACGCTCATGGCAAGGAATAAAACAAACTTGGGACCACATAACAAACTAAATGATAGAGAAATGTACCGTAAAAATAAACTTACCGATGAATTCTATTGCTTGAGGGAAAAAGCTGGCAAGGTTTTGCCCGATATGATCGGAAATGGGTATCTGCATGTACTTGATATGTCCTTGTTCTTCGAAAGTGTTAGGCAAGTCCGACGTAACGTTCAAAATATACTAAAAAAAATCAAACGACCGATTATTAATAAATAGTGGAATATACAATATTTATACTATATTATGATTTGAGGTTAAGTGCTAGTGTATTACATTATAGTCCAGTAAGACTTTGCAATAAGATAGTCTGTTTAGAATTTTTTATACATGGATGTAATTTGCTGGTTTATTTTTTATCAGTTTAGAAACCATCTATTATTTCACCAAAAAAACAGATAATTATAAAAGTATGAAATGATAAAGTGCATGTATATTGTACAACTATACCTAGGTATAGGAATAAAAAATACGCATAATATTGTTATTATTGCAGTATTATTAGATAAGTTTTTTATTATATTTTCTTAAAAATCTAATATTATGTATATTATATAATACGATAATACCTATAAATTTAATATTATCATTTATCAGCAAATATTATATCAAAAAATTATTTATGTATTAATTAGTGTTTAAAAAAAAAAAAAAAATGTCGGGTAACCAATTATAAATGTCAACTATCGTTGCTTACATTCGTTTCGTTTAATTTGATTTGACTTATACCTAGTCTTAATAAAATATATATTATTGAAGTATATAATTACGATTTTTTAAATAATATGTATATTGTATAGTTTACTTAAGTTCCATAATATAAGCAGATAAGTAATAATATATAATAGGTACTAAATAAGTATTAACTACGTATACCTATTTAATAAAAACTTTTTTTTTTACATTCATGATTCTACGGATAATTTTGTATTCACACTCAAGAAGCCAGTCGTTTGGAAAAATAATATTATTTTAGTAGTTTCTATAAAGGTACGGCCTCTTTACAGAGTTAAACAGTGGAACAGCTAAACGCCAAGACGCTATAACTATGTCTGGACCAATTTCCGTACAAACGCTACAGGGAAGCCGCACCTTAAAAAGTTTAACTGGCTAAACGCTGCCATACTGAAAATCTAGAAATAGCTTGCAAAAAATATAAATCTATTCAGATTTGTGGGACATATGAAATTACCTCTATCCGGTGTTTCTTGAGCCATTCCAAGTCTTCCGAATTTGACGCGTTACCGAGGAACAGGTCAGGTAGGATTTCCACGGGAAAGTCACGGTCTTCATCGTAACCAAGTATCGAACTGGAGCTATCCACGTCGGAGAGGCTGTCGATGTCCGAACCACCGGAGCTCTCGGGAGACGTGCTGAGCACAGACATCAACTGGTGCTGGCGGCGTGCATTCCGGTTGTGAGGCACAAGTGATGGGGTGATATGCAGCGACCGCAAACCCATCAAGGTGTCTGTGTCACCAATGAAACCGGTCATGTCTTCATTGGCCCGAGCGCAACGTTCCAAAAACGATTCACACCATTCAGGGTACGATTGTTGGAAGGCATCAAAACTCTCTGAAAAAAATTAGTAAAATTATTGTTATTGTATAATTAATTAAAATAATTGTATAAGATGACCACAAATTTGGTGATCTAGTTTTCTGGTGATTAATTTAGTACGAATAAGTATCTGTCGCATTAGAGCATGAAACTATTTAAAATTTAATCAATTTCTTCCATCAGYTTAATATGTTATTATAAATATAATTAATTAATATTTTGTCGAGTTTGCTAATCCAATTTAGTGCTTACGTATAACTTAAGAAATTATTTTTACATGTGATGCATCTGCGTTCGATTAACACAAATCCGGAACTACCGTTCCGTTTCCGAGGCTAGTGAGTTTTTTATAAAAAATATATTACCACGTCTACAAAGTAATGACTACCAGTAGTTATTACTTAATACTTACTGCTATAAATAACTTTTTACGAGTAAGTAATATTGTATTCATCTCTATCGTCTATCACCACTACGGTTCGTGAGATTTTAACGCGATACACGTTTTCATTCTTTTCGAGAGCTTTTATGTGAAATTTTATATTATATTCCTGACTCCTGAGGAGTGTGGTCGTGTGGAAATAAAGCGACTGCAGTAACCATGATTAATAAATAGTGGCTATTAATTGGGAGGTATTTGTTAGGGAAGGGGTAGATATCGACAATTAATTTGGTACAGCTCATCAATCAACCTAAACAGGACATCATATACTATAACTATATACTATAAAAAACTAATTAATAGATACACCAATAAAATGAGTATATAGTTTTCATAACGGTTTAAGAATTGTTGTATTATAATTTAAAAAATTTCAAATATTCAAATTAAATTTATGTCAATTCATATACTTACACGTAATAATAAATGTGTATTTAACTTGTTTGTTATATTCGAAGACATAATAATCAGACATTTAACATACCTTTGCTATAAATGAGCTGATTTTCATAGAAAACCTATTTTATAATTTTGGTCATGCCTTTTCAATAACTTTAGTTTATCAGTGCATTTTTTTTTTTTTATTATTATTAATGATACCCTCGGCAACATGGGCCATTGGGTTTAAAGTGAGAAATATATATAAAAAGAAAAAAAATTACATGAATTGTATCTATATCTAAATTATACTAAATTTTGGTTAGAAGATTGGCGGCTGTGATGAATTGTATGATGTTGGTAATGGATTGAGGATTGTTGTTTAATATTTCTGAAAGTGATGATTCGGGCAGGTTGAAGCTTCATCAGTGCATTATTCACATGGGAATGCTTCAATGTTTTAATTTATTACTACATATAAAATCCTCTAGTAACAAGCTGTGTCCAAAACTCGTTGTTTATGGATTTATTGAAGTGTTTAATACAAATCCAACATTATTTATATACATGACTCATACATAGTATACATGTATTATACAGTTCATATATGAATATGTATATACATCAACATAGTTGTATCCTTAACAACTTAACGTCGTCAACTATTTTGCTTGCATTATAACACATATTATACATAATAGAAGTCGTAACATATGGATGCTATTTATTTAGATGTTTAGTTCATTGTTAATAAGTACATAAGTGGTAATTTATAATATTCTCTAACTTCGAGGTGTGTCTTTCAACATAATCTAACATATGGTAACAACATCCTGACGCTTCAGGCCTATTCATAGAAATCGGTTCGTAACACATAAAGGGATCGACAATATTCTAACTTTAAATTCAAAAACATAATAAAACTGAAGATATGTTATTTAATATTTAAGTTTGTATAAAATTAAATTTCTAATATTATTATTAACATTACATGCCAAGATAATAATTACAATAAAAAGAGTAAGTAAATAAAATACTTAATATGTATATTCGATATTGTTATATACCTTACTACCGGACGCCGGTTATACCTACTTAAATATTTTGTAATTTCATTGATTATTATTTACTGTTGGTCTGTCAATAAATCAATGATTAGTAATAATTACTAGAATTCGTAAATAGCAAAATCTGTAAAAATCCCGGATATGATATGTGTGAGTACGATAATAACGATTTTATCTAAATTATTGATGAAAATAAAATCATTTCGAAAGAACTTCGTCAACAATTTCCGAACGAAAAAAACCACAACCTACAAATGTATATTATGTCGTATACTCACAAATATAAATATATGAAGAAAATCAAAAAAATTTCCATCCAGATTTACGAAGAGTATATTTAACGTATGTAAGTTTCAAATCAAATTTTCCGTCACCCACGCGTGCACTCGTTTTTTTTTTCACTTCGTGAGAGTAAAGAAAACATTCCCTGTAAGTATGTGTATGTGGGTTCATGACGAGTGGGCGCCGCCTTCACCACTCCTGATCGCCTAGTGGTAAATTACATTGGCGCTTCTCACAAAGGGTCCCCGTCGTCATCTGGACCGGACGGCGGGTGCAACAACGACGCATCGATCGGCCAACACCGACCGACTCAAGTATACAATATATAATATATATATAGTACGCACAACTCGGCGGATACCCGACCGGAAATCAAAATTGGCCGACCGGAAACCGGCTGCCAATAAAACCGGATGATTTATTAACGAACGCACGACAACGTACTCTGCCACCACCTCCAACGCCCTACACATATTCTCGAGACATTTTAATATATTATATTATAAATACCGAGTGTTGGTCGAGTCCGGTCGCGTTATTCCCCAGACACGTAAAATTAACAATCTATTCATTTTATCGTAGTCATTATATATTATCATCATGTACGCCTTATACAATTTGATACACTCAAAAATACTCTTCTTGAGTATGTGTCAGCAAAAATATAAAAAACCACGAATAAAAATATCCTAATTCTCTCGAAGAACAAACAAACACGTCCRGTGCTCGTCGAGGTCCTGCATGTGTGTAATCATACATGAAAATGGGTCAAGACGAAACATAATGGCAACCCACGTACGTTAACAACTAACAACCCCCGGGAACGCCTACTCGGACAAAATATTTGATATGCTGCTCGAGTTAACCGGTTTGAATTGTATTTTTTCCAAACTCTAAGTCGCGCACTGCCTTTGAGGTTGATAAAAATAATCATAATTAAAAATGATTTTCCTAAAAAAAGGAATTGACACTAAATTATAATGCACATGAGACAGGGAAGGGATCGGGCAGTACACCGCACGTGGTATTCCCATCCGTCAGGTTACCACGGGACGGGCGGGTTAGCACGAGGTGCGCTTCAATGAATATGAAAACCTGACGGCGGCAAGGCGCGTGATCACGTAACACGTTCTACATTACATAAAGACCTTTTTATAAAATAACCCCCACCGCCACCGTTCCAGAAACGACCCACGCGTTTTCAGAGGCCCGATTATATCGATCCTCCGGCTGAGGCCCATACAAATATATAGGTCAACTCCGAACGTATTATTAACTTACTGTTAACACAGACCACGAACTGCTCGGGAAATACATCACGTCCCRAGTCGGGTTTGTTGTTAATAAAACCGTAGTCGAACACCTCCCACCGGCAACCAATAATTAAAACGAAGTGTTCTTAACTTTAACTCTAATTAATTGAATTATTAACAGAATCTTTATATTGACTGCAATGAACACAATCGATTGATACGCCGTGGCACTAATTTGTATTCGCCGCTATAATATTATGATACGAATAATTATTATTTATGAAAATGTTTTAATATTCGTTCACGTCAAAAACCAGCATGTTCTCTTGTTGTTCAAAATAATCTCATAAATTAAAACTAAAATCTTTATCTATTATTATTGAATGCCTGTTGCCAGCACAAGTGGCCAAATATAATTATTAATTAATAACATTTATAAAAGTATTTATTTTATATTATTGAACAATTAATTAAATTAAAAATGAATAATATTATCATACATAAAATGTGAAATTAATAAAAAACCAACGGATGAATCTAAATAATGAAATAAAACTAAATCCAAACATTATTCTTATAGATTATATTAAATAAAAATAAAATTATCTACTTCCAGAATTCCATTACTATTAATACTTGGACGATATAATCAATTGTTTTGTCTTAGTTGTATTTTTCGTTTTATATTACACAAAAATTAATTTTACTTAAGAAATGACTGTAATACTCACAAAATCTTAAATTACAACACTAAAATTTAATTATCAACCACAACCATATTGATTGGTTTCGCATAAATCCTTAATAATTTTAATATTTTAATAAAATAAAAGGCATATTATCTAGCTCGGTGTTTCGTGAAGCGGAGTTTAAAGTTTAAACTATACAATAAGATAAACCATAGGTCATTTTTGACGTATTAAATGTAATATTACTGCTTTAAGTAGAACAGTTATTATTATTATTACACAATAATAGATCTAAGTAATTAAACAGAATAATCAAATTAATTGCATTCTAAATAAATGTATCGTACAATTGAAAATTTTAATCATAGACATACGTTTAAATCTGTTATATATACATCAAACAAACAAAACTATATGGTAGCTGGTATAATGGTATCTCAACAATAACATAACCTGCAAGCATACATGATTTGCATAATGCAGAAAACTTAAGTCTCAACTACTTAGTCCCTTGAAGGCACTTGACAAACAACACAAACTAAAAAAAACATACCTAATAAGTCATATAGGTACATGATTTGAACACTGCAAATGGTAAACAATTCAAAGTGTCTAAATATAAAATGGGTGTTTATAGACGTGCCACCGGATATCCTTCATAGAACGCAGAGTGCGAGGAATCCACACCAGAAATGTATGTTTTTCAAATTCCCAGCAGTAGTGGAAACGGAAACAGGCGACTTATTTTCGGACTAGGCGTGTCCGGGGTACTGGTTTTTGCACGCCAAGGCCTACCGTTGAAAAGGAAGCGCGCAACGGATCCTAAATGCCGGAAACAAACATCCGGTTTAGTTTAAAACACACGGCAGGATACACACATGCGCACGCGCCGGATACCGGCAGT